CAACCACATGGTGGCTCACAACCTCTTCTGGCCTGCAGGCATACATGTAGACAGAATATTGTATGCATAATAAATAAATAAATATTTTTTTTTTAAAAAAGAAAAATCGAAATTGATGTTGATTTCAAGGCCCCAGACTCTTTCCAGTGGCTGCTACCTTCCTTGGGGATGCTTCCATTCATTGGTAGTTCTCAGCCTTTTGCTAAGACTGGGACATTACGCTTGAATGTGACTTGAATGTGAACGTATAGTGTGAGATTTTATGTTAGAGATTAAACTAAGAATATGCATATATTATATATACCTATAAAAACTCTATTAGATACTTTTCTATTTTTTGCTTCAGAAAAACTCTGTATGATGAACTTTATTAATGTTCTCATTTTCTAGACAAAAACCTGAAAAAAAATAAAGGGGTACACAATTTTCTCAAGGCCACACATTTAAGGAAATGCAGAAATCAGAGATGCAAACTGAGCCTCTCTTAATTTATAAGTTCATGCATTAAACTGATGCCCCTCTTCTGGTCCACACAGTGTGAAAGAACCAAGCATGATGAAAACCCAAATATATGATTGAAAACAAGATTGCTTCTCTTTCCCCTTTACATGACAGTTACATGTAAACACCGGCACCAGCAAATGCTTTTGAGATATACATTTATTTGGAAGAACACAAATCGAGAGAACTTGATAGTGCTGCATCTGGGGTGAATCTGACAGCGCTTCTTAGAAACGTACATATTCTGTAAAAGAAATATGAAACAGTGTGTGAGTAGGATGTGGTGTTGGGCTGGTGACATGGCTTAGGAGGCAAAGGGGCATGCCACCCAGACTGACAATCTGAATTTGATCCCTGGGACCCAGAGGACAGAGAGACAAGGCCAACTCCCACGATTTCCCTTTAACCTCGATATGCATGTTATTATGGCTTATATGCCACCTTACTCAGCAAATAAAATGTAGGAAAGTTTTTTTTTAAACAAGGATTAGCTATTGTTTGTAAAATCCCAATAAGACAGTGGTGCTGGAAGCAGCCAGCACCAGGAAGCTAAAGTTGCTGTGTCCATGATGTTCTGTGGCTGACAGAATATTTATTCTCAGATTGTAAATTGCATTTTGCCCCTTCAGTTGTGGTGAGCTTATGATGGAGAGTGGGTGGAGAGGACAACCTGTAATTCAGGATGCCTGAGAAGCTGGTTGCCTAGGAAACGGAGAGGAACAGCAGAATGCACACCAAAACCAACTGTCAATAAGAGGGGATTTTTCTGTTCTGATCCGAGTTGCTTTTCTAATTTATTCCCTGGGTCTCCTGCGGTATCCAATTAGTACTATTTACCCTCAATGGCATTTTGTGCCAGATTGACCCACATTAGCTAGGAGAGGGTACAAAATGACTCATAAGCGTGGTGTCAACTAAATATTTGGAAGGAAGATGATAGTACAATTAAAAGGGGTTTAAAAAGTTGTAATAAATATGAGAATATTTTAAATATTTAACATAAGGTATTTGATTTTTTTAATGCTGTTTCTATGTGTACATGGTGTGTATGCATGGGTGCGTGTACAGACATACGTACCCATACTTACACACGCAGAGGCTGGAGGAAGCGTTAAGCTATTTTCTTTTACTTTTTAATTTAATTTTTTTAAAAAAAATCCTTTTTCATTTTACATACCAATCCTAGTTCCCACTCTCTCTCCTCTATCCTCTTCACCTTCCCCCACTCCCACCCCATCCACTCCCCAGAGAGAGGAAGGCACATTGCTTTGGGGAAGGTCCCAGGCCCTCCCTACTATATTTAGGCTGAGCAAGGTATCTGTCCAAAGAGAATGGGTTCCAAAAGGCCAGTACAAGCAGTAGTGATAAATCCTGGTACTGCTGCCAGTGGCCCCACAGTCTGCACCAGACGTACAACTGTCACCCACATTCAGAGGATCTAGTTTAGTCCTATGCTGGTTCCTTCCCTGTCTGGTTAGAGTTGGTGAGCTCCTATTAGCTCAGGTAGACTGTGTCAGTGGATGTCCCCATCATGGTCTTGACCTCTTTGCTCATATTCTCACTCCTCCCACTCTTCAGCTGGACTTTGAGAGCTCAGCCCAGTGCTCCTCTGTGGGTCTCTGCCTCTGTTTCCATCAGTTGCTGGAGGAAGGTTCTATGGTGACATTTAAGATAGTCATCAATCTGACTACAGGGCAAGGCCAGTTCGGGCCCCCCTCCCCACTATTGCTTAGAGTCTTAGCTGGGGTCATTCTTGGGGATTCCTGGGAATTTCTCTAATGCCAGGTTTCTCGCTGGCCCCAGAATGGCTCCCTCAATCAAAATATCCCTCTTCTTGCTCACCGTCTCTGTCCTTCCCCCATCTCAACTATTTCATTCCCTCATGTTTTCCTCCCCTCTCCCCTTCTAAGCTGCTTTCTTCTAACTCCCTCCACCATATTCATTGAGTCTTAAACTCACCATCGAAGGTGGGCTGGCTGAACCTAGAGTTCCCAATATCCACCCATCTCTGCCTTCCAATGCTTAAATTACAGGAGTGCAGCCACACCTGACTTTGATTCAAGTTATCTGGCTTGCATAATGAGCACTCTTGGCAACTGAGCCTGGCAACTCTTCCAGCCGCACATAAAGGCAACTCTTGATCATAACTTAGCTGTGCCTAAATTTATGGTCATAAAACTTACTTCTGTTTCTAACATGGACGTTTCATTTGCTCTTATCCACTTTTCTCTGCTCTTACGCTACTTACACGAGATACTTTGGTGTACAGTAATTATCTTCAAGAATAACACTTAGAAACTCATAAATACTTGATGAAAATGGTATCTAATTTCTCAATACTTTAAAAATATAGACATTTAATTTTTAATTTTAAATATATTATCTATGTCCCTGCATATTTTATAGCTATGCATATTTAATAAGATCCCAACATATGAAATTTCATAACTGAGCCTACGACCGGGGTAATTTCTTTTAGTTAAATTTATAATTAGATGGAATCAATCCATATTTTTTTGTCTTATTTGGTTTGAGTGCCCCGTTCCTGCTTTTCTTATCTCTGCTTCACTGCATCCTCTACCATCACTACCTCCTGCCCCTTCTCCTTACCCATGGGCAATCCACATGGCAAAGGTATGTGACCTCTGTACTCACAGAGCCATGAACACTTACAAATACGCCTGCACGTCCATGTCTTCTAATAACAAAGCGTGTGGCACAGTTTCAAACTCGCAGGTTGCTCTTTTCTGTTGACTTCTACAGCCCCTGTATTCCAGTGTCATCATCGATCCTTTCTTCCCCTCGTCCTTAGTGCGTTTCTGCTTGATTTGTTCTTGCTTCCTTGTCTTTTCAACGCTCATCCTTCTAGATTTGATTTCTCTCCTCTGTGCTAGAAACTGTTCACCAATGATCCATGCCGCAGAGTAGAGTCTGGTGTCATCCAGATGGATTAGTAGCTGCTTTCTGCCTTTTCCTAATTTGTCTCTACAGAATAACTTGATAGTTTTCTCAGGTAACTTAGGGTTACATGAGAAGGAAATACTTTAGTTTTTATTCTGCCGACATCAGCTTCTGAGATCTATGCCTTCTCCAACAAGGGCAGATTGCCTCTTTGGAGCTATTTTTTTTTCACCCTTCACTGTCAGAGCAAAGTTAATAGTAAGACAAATGTGTTCTACACAGAGCCCATAGAATTAATATTATGAATGAGAATATTTGAAGTCTTGTGGTTTGTCGGATGCATGGCTCCCCACAGACTAGGGCGGCTTCTTTCTCATGGTCCATTCCCAGTGCCACCAACATCCTACTCTCCTTGTAAAGGAGAACATTGATCCTATCAGGGCATAGAGAGTGGTCTGCGCTCAACCAAATGGCACACTCCCATAACATTAGGCTTAGAGGCTATTCTGGAGTCAAAGCCCTTTGACTTTCCAGCAGATGGAATAGAAAGGGAGACGGCCACAAGGGCTCAGTGGATTGGGGCTCTTTCTTCTTCTCTGCTCTGCCTCACAGTTTCCCCCACTAAGTCTTTGTAGATCGTTGGTCTGTATTCAAATGACTGCTATTGGACCAGGCTCTTGATTCTTCTCATCTGCGGAAAGAAAGATAGTTTGCAATTTGTCAATCTTCGGAATTTTGTGACTTGTTCCTTTGGGAGCAATATGGAAGGCTCCATTCCTGACCAACTGTGATGGATGTGACTGATGACGCCGCCTGGGCTGGGTCTTCTCCACTCAGCTGAGGGTGGTACAGCCATGGAAGATGGACTTTATTGTGAGGGGTATTATTTACCTAGCAGGGAGCTTGTCAAGGAGTTTCAAAGATGCCATATCCAGAAAGGTTCAGATCATAGACCTCGGTGACTAATGACCTTTGCTCCCCATTTCAGGAGGAAAAATCCCAAAATGATCCTAGGGGAGGAGAGGTAAAATGGTCTCTGAACTAAACCCTAGGAGACATGCTTGTGAGGAGAAACCAAGCAAAAGGAAAATAAAATGAGGCTAATGTAGAGAAGACAGCAGGTGTTTATTTGCAGCTCACTCAGGTGTGCTCTGAAGGTCAGCGAGCCAAAACAGCATTACCAGGTAATCCCTGAGCAGCTCCACCCCTTAGAGAGCACAGCGAGATCATACATTATATGCATCTGTACACACACACACACACACACACACACACACACACACACACACACAGACACGCACACACACACGTAAGCAAGCACTCACACACATGCACGCAGACTTCTTATTGATTCCACCTTCAAGTCTCCCAGAAAAGCAGTTTCTTTGGCTGATGGATTGAGTCCAGGTCATCATCGAAGAAGATTAATTTTCACAGACCTACTAACAACACTGATACAGGAGGCCCGTGAACGCAGTAGGGGAAGCTTATCCCTCTCCTATTGCGTGAATATAGGAATCCCAGGGCTCCTTTTCTTCCCAAACTGGACAGTGAATCAAACATCAACAGCAACAGCAACAGCTCCTGTTCTGGGTGCCATGGAGTTTCTTGAGAGAACTTCCCTTCTGAATGACCAAGCTACTAAGATGTACACCTTCACTCTAGACAGGTAACAAGATACTCATGTCTGTGTTGCCATTTTCTGTGGCTTGAGCACACAACAAGCTAACCTATATTATTGCTTCAGAACGGTAAACTCTTGCTTTACAAATTGGGATCATTTTGGAGCATCTCAAAAGAGTTAACTGATTTGTATGATTCATATCTTGAAACATACTGTAGTTTGTATAGTTGCTATGATTCCTTAAATATTATAAGTTCATAAAAGAAACACTCATTAAGGCATTTTCTTCGTTGGTTTTTATTACAGAAAGCATGCAAGAGCAATCTAATTGTTTACTGTTGTTTTATTCAAATTTTCCTATTTTTAAGTTAAAGAGTAAACTGTCAAAATTATATCTAGGAAAAAATAATACTTTTCAATGATGGCTCAAAACCAGAGTTACATGTATCTTAAAATTAAATAATGAATGGATTATTTTATATCAGTAGATGTACCTGCAATAAATGTAGCTAGATTTAATGTTTCCATCATTCCAGTTCTTTTAAGGTCTTCAATGGTGTCATGTGTAATATATTCTTTGATTTTCATTTAAAGCAATTATTGACTTAGCATGTTTATCTTATGTGCTGTATATATAATTAAAAAGAAAATCTTTCTAATCCTAGATGTCTGCTTATTTAAAACTAAGAGGCTAATATGAATTGTGAATGAGGATGATTACACAATAGGTACGGAATAATGCTAGAGACATTTAATGAGAATTTTAGGAGAAAACATTAAGAGAAGCTATGGTTTACCTGGGCTTGAGGATGAGAACAAAAATTTATTTCAGAAATCATAGAATAAGAACTCAACAAAACAAAATAGAATCACAAAAGATTTAGGGGAAATCTATATAGAAAGTGAGGAAATGGGAGTAAGGATGTAGCTCAGAGATAGAGTGTGTGTCTAGCAAAAGGCTCCGGGTTCAATTCTAAGCCCTGAAAAAACAAAAAAAAAAAAGAAGAGGGAATAGAAATTTGATCATAATAAGACCATTGCTAAATAAGTCTAGATGTATGTACACCTTGTAAAGAAAGACATATGTCAGATAAAGAACTAGGTATATATGGGGAGATCATGCCAACGAGGAGTTAAGAGGCTAAGCAAAAACTTGAAATAGACTCAGGTAGAGCAGATTTTAAGAGAAAATGTACTTATTAAAACCATATGTAATATTTTCATTTATTTTGTAGAACCAAATTAATAATCTAAAATAATGTTATATTTGATTGCATCACATATATCAAAACTGCAAAGAGAACTTTCCCTAAGGAGTATCTATAACTTAGTTTTACAAATGAATGGCCTACAGCATGGGTCGTTCGTTATCAAATATTAAAAGAATCATTTTCTTAGAAAATTTGAGGTGCCAATTATTGATCTCATAAGTACTAAAAAGCAAAGTCTCATATGAGCTCAGGTAGAAACATTGGACAACATGTTGTTAGCCCTAGGAATACTTCTATATTATTGAAATATCAATAATGCCTATTAAAATCCATTATTAGGATTCTGTAATACAAGCAGTCAACAGTTTATAGTAATGGTCTTGTCTACATCATAGGGTGAATGAGGTATGGTTTTCAAGACATAGTACTTCTAAGAGCCATAAAATCAGTGTTTACTTTTCAAATATAAAGATTAAATCTTGAAAAGATTTTTAAAAAATCCTGATCTCTCCATTTTACACTGAAGAAAATGAATGCCAAAAAGAGGGCACGTCCTTGTAAGGTCAGATGGCTGAGTTGAAAGTTGACCTTGTTGGTCAGTTTTACATCTTCGCCTCTCCTGCGCCTCCACTCTGGATGGCCTCAGCACCTAGTCTAACTGTTCCCAAGACAATCTGCATCTTTGCGGATCTCTTAGACCTTCCCCACCTCTTCCAGACCCCCTACTCATGCATTTTCTTCCATTTCCGAGCTTTTCCTCTTAGCAGTCTTTTTCTTCTCCCTCCCTGAGGCTTTCTCTGACCCATCATAAGTTCCCTATCTAAACTGTTGTGTGCTGTTGAGATACTTAATCCTGAAGGAAGCCTTGTCTAATTCTATAGAGGCATCGTTTCCAACAGCTGATGGTTTGCAAAGAACTAATCCCAGAGCTGGTGGCTTATAGCACACAGTTCTATGAGTGAAAACTTAGGCATGACTTTCTTCTGGTTGCTCAGGAGCCCATTTCCTTCTGGTGTCTGGACTAGGAGATCCAAATTCCCTTTCCTTACATGCCTGTGGTCTTCATGCTGATGTTTGGCTAGTGTCTTTGTTATTTTCCTCTATGTTTGCATCAGCCTGAGATTTTTTTGAAATGGAAGTTCAGGACAGAAGTACAAGACTGGAAGCTGGTAGCTGTCACATAGCCCAAGCCCACAGCAGCATCACTGTTCCCATGTTAACGGGCTGTATCAAGCCTCAAGGCCTAGATTTGAACATGACAGGCGTTGCTGGGTGCCATCTTTATACATACTTCAGCACAAGAAAAAGGAATGTTGAGTTTTGCGTGTGCCATGTTCACTAGGGTGTACCCTCTCCTTCTGCAATTCTTGATCCATTGTTAAGAAGGGCAGTGGAGCTGGGCGGTGGGGGCACGTGCCTTTGATACCAGCACTTGAGAGGCAGAGGCAGGCGAATCTCTGAGTTCCAGGTCAACCAGGACTACACAGAGAAACCCTATCTCAAACCCAAAACCAACCCTAGAAGAAAGGCAGTGGAAGCAAGATAAGGTGCTAGAATCTTTTCAACTGTGTGTGTGTATGTGTGTGTGTGTGTGTGTGTGTGTATGTGTGTGTGTGTGTGTGTGTGGTGTACTGCTGTGTGCGTATGCGAAGGACATTCCTCAGGTGATTCTCACTATTTTCACTGGCCTGCAACTTGTTAAGTAGGTTAGGTTGGCTGCTCATTGAGTCCTAGAGTTCCATTTGTTTCTTCTTATCCAGTGTTGAGATTACAAGCACATGCCACATTATTTATATATTTATATATATTTATATATTGTTTCCGAGGATCAAACTGAGGCCCTTCTCCTCGCCGGGCAGGCGCTTACTGACTGAGCTATCTCTCCAGTGCTTAGCAAACACTTAACTGGCAAGTTTTATGTGTTTGCTGTCTCTGGAGTTGTCCTAAGGGCACATGCAAAAAATGAAGAGCAAAATGTTCACAAAACTTACTGTGTCTCAAGTAAGGAGTGAGAAATTGCCTATTTCCAAGCAGAACAACATTGATGAAAACAATAGAGGGTTTTACTTTATTTTTTTTTTCTGTTGAGAAATGAAGCCTGGCCTTGATGCTTCTGGAGAGCAATAAACCAGTGAAAGATCTGCTAAAGCTGAGCAGCGATGGCCAGAGATGTCAGACGTGTAAATCCTTGTGGAGTAAATGCTCACCGCAGATGGGCATCACCCAGTAACCGTGCAGAGGGTGTGTGATGAGTTGGATGTTTGGATTCTCCACACTCCAAATTCACATGTTCACCCTTGACGGCCCAGTTTGAGTTTCTTAAAAATACATGACTTCTAAGGCTATAACCAAGTTTAAAGGTCGTTACAGGAAGGGGTGCTTTATATGACAAGCCAAAGATCTCGTTTTCTCTTGTTTTGCGTGAGCAACTAGGAAAAGCCATGAGAGGATATATAAAGACAGTCATGATTAAGCCAAGAAGAATGTGACTGATGTCGATATTTACTAGCAAACTGACCATGAAGATCTAAGCCCCAGATCTGTGAGAAGACACATTTCTGTTCTGTTAAGTTATCCATACTGACATGCTTTCTTGCAGCTCAAGCAGACTAACAGAAACCCCAAATTTAACGGAACCGCCTACATCGTGGAGTAATTTATATCTTAGAGCAGTTTTGAAAGCAGCAGAGTAATTGGGAGTCAATTAAAGAGCCCAAAATCTAGGCGAGAAACTAGCATAGACAGAACACCCAAAGGCTTAATAGTGAGGCCATGGAAAGAGACAAAGAAAGAGGAACTAAAATGACCCCCGTACTGGGAAGGTGGGGAGGGGGTGAAGTTATACATGTGCAAAGATGGGACTCCTCAAGGAACACAGGGGATTCACGGGCATGGGAAATCGGAAAAAAAATGGTTGCTGCTGAACTAGATAAGCCAAGTGAACAAAAAAGAAATAATAATACTAGTAATAAAAAAACTTAAAAAAATCCACATAGGATCAGTATCTAGCATCATAACAATATATATTCTAAATATTTTGACTTTCACCAAAATCACAAGATACAAAAAACATGAAAAAATATACAAATAGTAAAAAAAAATCCATTAATAGGAAGTGCCTTTAAAAGGGTCTAAATGTTGGCCTTAAAGTTCTAATGTTTTAATTACAGCTACTATAATATATCAAAAGAACAAGCTGTAATTATATCTACAGAATTAATGAGAGACTGGATGGCAATTCACAAATGGAGGATACTAATACAGAAAGAGAAATTATAACATCAAAATGTAACTTGTAGGGTGGAAAGGATTAATAAATAAAATACAAGAAATCACTCGAAGGACCTAAGAACAGACCCTTGATGTTGACATTAGCTGACAGAACAAAAATTCAGTGTTCTCGACCATAAAGCAATAATTATGTACTTACTGCAATGAAACTAAGGAAAACAGAAGAATGAACAGAACATTAGAGAAATGTGGCACATAGACAAATGCATTAATTCATTCGTGATGGTAGTACCAGAGAGAGAGAGAGACAGACAGACAGAGAGACACAGAGAGAAATGCAAATGTCTTTAAGCAATGCCCCTCTAAAATTTGGTGTATATTCATTTGTATTTCCTTTATACTTAGTGTTGGGAAACCTTGATGGTCAGAGGGGGCAGTCTGTCAAGGCCTGGCAGCTCTCTCCAAAGCTTGGCAGCACAAGGGACTTCCTCCCCAGCAAGACTGACCACGTTCCACTTTACCTTATCTGGAGACTGTTTTCTAAGCCCAGAGGACTGACCTTACCAGAAAGCAGTATCGAAGGCTGGAGGCCTGTCTTATCTCTAGCATGACCTTGGCTTGGCACAACTTCCTGTTAGAAGCCTTCCCCCTTCTGCCTGTGTGGTAACTAAGACTTGCACACAACCTTAGCTGTGCACTACTGCCACATACAAAGCCTTATGATAGAAGGCTTCCACTTAATGCAAATTAGGGTTTGTCCCCAGACTCCCCAGTCCTGTATAGTTCCTATACTTTGGAATAAAGTTCAGCTGCTTCACTGAAGTCTTATCCTGGAGGGCTACGTCCACCATATCCACAGCCATCCAAATCGTGTCCCCTACCCTCGTGGACCAGTGGTCAGTGATCCTGAGGGAAGAAGGAGACCCACACTTAGTGAAGTATGAGAAGAAGCAAGCAGAGGGGCGTGGTGGTGCACACTTTTAATGCCAGCACTTGGGAGGCAGAAGTAGGTGGATTTCTATGAGTTTGAGGCCAGCCTGGTCTACATAGTAAGTTCTGGGACACATACAGCTACATAGCGAGACCTTGTCTCAAAAAAGCAAAATTAATTAACTAATAAAAATAGAAGACACAAGCAATTAGATTTATAACCTGACATTTCAGACTAAAATAATATCTGACTTTTGTGTGTGAATGTGTGTGTGTGCATGTACACACACGCACACATGTACACTTGAGTGTATATAACTGAAGAGGTCAGAAGAGGGTATTAAAGTCCTCTGGGGCTGGAATCTCAGTAGTTGTGAGCTGAATGACTTGGTAGGTAGTTGTGAGTTCTCATGTATGTTTTCAGAACTGAAACCCAGTTCTTCTGCCAAAGTGCTAAGCACTCACGTCCTGAACCATCTCTTCAGTCCAAAAGAGAATCTCCTGTCAACCCCAAAATGGAGTGTTATAATTATGAAGAAAGTCTGACAGTATTCCAGACCAGGTAGAAGATAACAGTGCCCAGGATCGCCGCTTCGAGTCAGCTTTGCACTGTGTATTCTCGCCAGAACTTTTATGCAAGAAAACAAAATGAGTGACATCGGGTTAGAAAGGAAAACTGAAAACTCTATTTGCAAACGATAACATATTTTACATATAAAAATGTCAAAGAATACACTGACAAACTTCGGATTTAGTAAATTCTGTAAAGCAGTGGTAAACAATAAATAATAAAAGTAATTGTGTTTTTGTATAGGAATAGCAAGAACACTAAATATTCACAGGCTGAATAATTAATTTGTGTATATTTCTGACACCATAGTAAAAAAAACTTCACTAAAATGGATCATAGGCGTTAAGATAGGTGATAACATTATACACTTGTAAATCTTCTAAAAGAAAACACAGGCATAAACCTATGAATTTTGGATTAGGCATACCTTTTTGATAAGGTACTTAGGGCAGAAATGTTAAAATTGTATAAATTAAAAGGCCAAAAGAAAACATGTTGTTCTTCACACAATTGTTTAGAAACAATGCTTGCACTGCACCAAGTTGTGTGTATGTGTAAAGTTTGTTTTCTTCTCAGCTCTAGGAGGCAGCGTGGTTGATTTTAGGCAGCTAAATGTAGTGAGGTCTGAGCTAATAGCCCTCTGGATATAGTAAACGGGTCTCATTTGACACAATTGGTTTACCTCCAGACTCTTGGGGGCAGTTTTCAGAGAGAATATTATATTGGTTTTCTCATTTCTGTGACAGACACCCATCAGAAGCAACTTAAGGGAGGAAAGATTTAGCTGTGGAAAAGCTTTCCTGAGATTTCAGTTTACCGTGACATGGCAAAGTAGCTCCCTTGTGATGGGAGCCTGCACCTGGGGCTCTCATCATTTTATCAGAAGCACAGAGAAGGAGACCAAAATCAAGGAGTGGTTACAAAACTCATAGGTTGGTCCTAGAGCCCACATAGGCAGCCAGCTCCCATACTTGAAACCTCCAAGACAGTTGCGGAGGCTGGTGATCAAGAGTTGAAACTCATGAGCTCATAGTGGGGGGTATGGCAGATAACTTCTCCACTTGCACAATGAAAACCCAGGAATATAGGTGATAAACTCTGACAACCCTTCCAGGCCAAGAAGGAGAGAAGAGGCTCTGGGGCCCTGTGCAGACAGCACTTGGGTTCCTCTAGGTGTTTGATTGGCAGAACCAACAGTTTTCATGTATTAACTTTTCCATATGATTTTTGTTTTCTTTACATACTTCATACCATTCTAACTAATACTGATTCTCACTGTACAAAAATATCTATGATATCTAGCAAGATATCCATAATTGTATTTCGGGGGTATGATTACCAGTGATTTTTCTCTGCTTTGTCCTCTTTTTATAATTCCAGGTTTTCCATAATGATATGTAAATTTTTTTTCAGAAAAATTCAGATATGACCATAATTAGAGTGCTCCTAATACTTATTAGACAAGCCCAGATCATCAGACTTTTAATTCCAGATGGTGATCATCCAAATGAAATAAGCCCTCAAGTAGAAGCTAATTCAAATTTTTAACTTTCAGAGCTCCAATTGTAAAAGCCTCAGTTCTGAGAACCCAATTAGTGTTTTCAAATAAAATTATTGAATTTAAAAAATCCTATTAGTTCAAGATCCATGGACGGTGTCATCTGCACCGGCAGATAGGTACACTGATATTGAGACAGTAGCTAGTCTGAGGCGTGGTGGGAGAACAGTGGGTTTTGTCGTCCTGTTTCGGCATATTTGACCCTAAAAAGTCACATTGCCTCTATGAAACTCACTTACCCCACCCAAGAAACTATGCATTTGAGGTAAATTTTATCAATAGTCCCCCATCTATGATCCCAGGGGAGTTCCCAAATTAAGCTTTGTGTTGGAACAGGAATAATAGTTACTGTTTTGGGAAGCAGAAGAAGGATCTAGTTTTCATCTTGGCAGTGGGTATTTAGTAGAGGTAATGAATGATGAGGTGTCTGAGGGTCCCCAGGCCCCTCAATACTGAACAGGTATTGTGGCCTCCTGATGTATATTTGCTTATGCCTTACAATCTAACATGATGATGGTGTCAGGTTCTGTCCATATGCAGAATCTTTTCATAATGAAACAATCAGAGCTCATTTCCTATGGTGGGATGTAATGTTCAGTCTTAATGCAGCGGGGAGGGGCTTGGTCCTGCCCCAACTTAATGTGACAGACTTTGTTGACTCCTCATGGGAGTCCCTACCCATTGGGAGGAGTGGATGGAAGGTGGGCTGGGAGGGGAAGACAAGGGGGGGGCAGAAGGAGAAGTCAGTGGGAGAACTATGGCTGGAATGTAAAGTGAAATTAAAAAAAAAAAAGAAAGACTGGCCCTTAAGTATTTCTATTTCTTTCCTTCCGTTTCCATCTGTTCCCTTAGCTCCACAAAAGTAGTGGTTGGGAGCAGTTGTGAACCCAGAAGGAAATGTAAGGAGAACTCTGAATTCTAACTCCTTTGCTAGTTTGCCAATGTCCTAAGAGCTACGTTGAGAGTGAATAGGGCTGCCGGGAGGTGCATGCTTGCCACTGTGTTCACCTCTTGCTCCTGTCAAAATTGTCCTCAGCAGAGAACTTCGACAGAAACTTGTGAATAAAGATGGGTGTCCTGGAGACAGGCCAGAGCAGCCAGAGGCAGAAGGCATCTATCACTGCCACAGCAATGCCAAGGCTACAGAGAACGGCTCGAGCAAGCAAGTGCATGCCAAGAGGAGACTCTGTGCAGCTTCAGCGATATGCTTCATCTTCATGGTGGCAGAGGTGGTCGGTGAGTACCGCCCAGGAAAACTCCGGCAGGACCCTGCATTGTGATGGGAAGGATAATTAAATTGTTCTTGAAGAGAAATAGTTAATATCTTTGCATGTATAGAATGACAGTAGGCACATAGTAGTCAAGTTGCAAAATAAAAGAAAAACAAAATCCATTATGCAAACGATCGCCTCTTATAACACTGCAGGTATTTCCTATAGTTCATCTGTGCACAGCGCTTGGGATTTTTTCATTTACATAACTGGGATCATGCTGAATGCTCTTGTCTATTTTATCAAACACCATTTAAAAATACGTTTATTTCCAAACAATACATTCCACTGTAAATCACATTTCTCTATTGATAGAAATTTGGGGGAGATTCTTCCTGCTTCTGGACTATACAATGAAGAAAATCTTAATAAAATTCTGCCTACTCTTCTAGTTAATTTCTTGAAAGGTATTCTAAAAATGGAAATAATTGATTGAAAGACATGAATATTTTTTCTTAACTCTTGAATCATTTTGTCAAACCTATGTTCAGACACTTGAAATGATTCATCAGTATGGAAGCCAGTCATGAAAATGATTTTCCTTCCAACTCCTCAAAAATCTTCGCTAGGATTAGAGAGATAGTTCCATGATTAAAGCAATCCTGATCCCTCTGCTACCCGTCACACTGTTACTGACATCTTAGGTGCTTCCTTTTTAGCCTGTGTTACAGGAGGCTGCTTGTTCATTCTGACCACTCAGCTAGCTTAGCCTTAAAATAACCACACAGAAGTGTATTAATTAAATCACTGCTTGGCCCAATAGTTCTAGTTTTTTTATTGGCTAATTCTTACATCTTAATTTAACCCATTTCTATTAATCTGTGTATCATCATGAGGCAGTGGCTTACCAGGTAAAATTCCCAGTGTCTCTCTCTGGTGGATCCATGACGTCTCTCTGACTCCACCTCCTTTCTTCCAGCATGTTATTTAATTTTCTCTATCTACCTAAATTCTGTTCTACCCTATCAGGCAAAGTCAGTTTCTTTATTCATTAATTAATGAAAGCAAAACATAGACAGAAGGACCACCTACACCAATCCTGTTACCAAAAGAGAAGCCTAAATGAACAAGGAACAGAATAGAGGAAAATAGGCTTTACCGATTTCCTTTTTGCATGGTATTTTCTAGCTTCCAGAATAAGTTGTGTTGCTTCTAGCTGTGGAAACTTCTTTAGACTTTCATAGTTTTTAAAAATCAGATAAAACATTAGAATAAATCCAAAACAACCACAGATTTGATGTACAGCATTTTAACCAAAATTTATAAAAATAATCAGTATTTCTATACAAAATGCTATATATTTTGAGGAAAAAGACTGAAAGTGTGATGGAGTTGCAAAATAATTTGATGAAACAATAGGCAGTTCCAGTCCTCTTTAAATACAGCAACATCTCACAAAAATGCACACACACAGACAGCGTATATACAAACATGTATGCACATAAATATACACATGCACATATATTCCTAGAGTATATTTAGATGTATAAACTGAAGAAGGAGTCTACAAATAAAATTTTTTAGTCCTTCTTTCCTATTGGAATACTTTCTATTCCTTTGTTTTGTTCATCTGATTAAGGTAAAAAATTCACTCCTTCCTTTCCTATTGGAATACTTTCTATTCCTTTGTTTTGTTCATCTGGTTAAGGTCTCCAGAGCATGCCAAATAGAAGCGGCTAAGGGAATCCCTTGGTTTGCTCTTGATCTCAGAGGAAGGCCGTTCCCCTCTTCCATCTTGTGTAGCATGAACCTGTGTCACTTGGAGCCTTCATTTCCTTCAGCTGTGCGATTCCTCCTTTGCTATTTCAAATGTTTTGTTTCAAAATCAAAATGTTTTGAGTGCGGTAGGCATGGGCAGCTCTCCGCATGGAGTCCCCCTTCCTCTCTGATTCCTGGGCATCCAACTGTGTGAGTTCTACCTTCAGTGTCAGAAGTGATTGCACCAGGAGAGGGATATAATGGATGCTGACTGGTCCTTGCTGAGTTTTTGAGCTGTATCGATATCAAGCTGATTGTTCTAAGCGTGGCTTTTAGCATCCTACATCCATCTTTAAAATTGTCAGCATTCTTCTTTGGCTTGAAATGTTCTTGAGCATGGGGCTAAAATGACAAGAGCGTGTGCCACTGGAAGAGACTGGTTCAGACGCCGCTTCTGTGCTCGGTCCCACTCTGCTCTCCCCCTGTCTGGCTCTCCCAAATGAGAAGAGATCAATATTTTGGAAGTTTCTGTTATTTAGGGCAAACGAAAAGAAAATTCTGTCTTTGGATTTTCAGAGACTCTACAATCAGTCTGCAATATAAAGTATTAATACTTTTTCTCTTGCTGCATCCTTACGTAATTATTCAGTTCTAACTCAGACAGACTTTTCATTCCTTGCAAAATAATCCTCATGTTTTTAGGTTCCCGGTAGCTTTTTCTTTAAATATAAAAGTCTTTTCCATGTTCCATTCTCATCAAAGTTAGAGCCATCACTCAAGATCCCAGTCCACAGCACGCCTATTCCCTGAAGTCAGATAAAGAAATGGTTATTATCAAAACTTCTTAGGAGAATCTGGGAGGTCCTTCTTCAGGATACAGATTCTGAGCAAGGTCTCGAAGCTTCCCGTATAAAATGAGAAAGTCCTTTTTTGAGAGAAGTCCAAAAGTGATGCAATGATGGTTTAATTTTAAAAATTATAAATCAATAAATAAAACTAACAAAAGCACAATGCAATAGCTCATTGGTTATTCTTGGGGTCTGAGAGGTGGTAACTCTCAGGCCCTACTTTCAGATGTCCCTATGGGTCTGTCTGAAACAAAACAGGGCATAATACCCTTAGAGATGCAGGCACAGTAGCTTAAGGGAGGCTGACACTTCTGTTCAGCTTGGTTTCTCACTGTCCACCATGGCTGCAAGCCTGGGTTAGCCTGGACTGAGTACTGGATACTCAGAGTCTCTGGTCTTTCTTTACATAAGGAGACTGAATAAAAACTTACACTCTCTCCTGCAAAAATATTAATGTGGAATGATGTAGTCCCAGAGCCCCTCCTATATCTTATCTACCTTCAATAATCTACCTTAGTAACATCTTTTGATCCTTAGACTTAAGACACACCTGCTCAATTATCCCCATATTCGCTTGTATTTATACGAGTCAATAACTAAAAATCTTTCTGTTGTTTAAGCTAATTTAGTTTAAGCTTTTTATGACTTAGAACCGAAAGAGAATTCCTAAAGTAGATTTTGTCAAAGACATAGCTAGAATGGTAATTGGGGGTTCATCTGGGGGAATAGATCCTTTCATAGAGCTTGTTTTTAGAATAGGAGCAAATCAGGCCATTGGGCTGCGTTTAGGGAGACGACCGCCACAGTGTGCTCAAAAGAGTGGCAGAAGAACTAAGGAATGACAGAGCCAGGCACAACATGCCCACTCTTGGGCCTTTGGAGCTGTCAAACTGGGACTGGTTTTGGCATCTCGTAAAAATTCTTCTTTGTGTGACGGCCATAAAGGGGGAGTTATGTTGCAGATATGAGCACACATCTCTATTCGAAAAGATGAAATGCAGATACCGAGAGCTCAAGAAAATAGGCTCAAGTGTGTCACCGCTAGAAGCAATTGAGAGCAGGCAATGAGAGGCATCTGAGGTACCATATTCAGGGTTATGTAAGGATGGGAGAGACGCTACTGCCTAGCAGTAATGGAGAGCTGAAGCAAGCTGAGGAGGACAGGAATGCGAGAGTGAGAACCTTCTGTCTTCCTAAGAGAAAGATGTAGCTGTAATGTGTGATACCCACATGTTTTGTTACTAGGTTTTTTTTACTTGCTTTGTTCTGTGGTTACCATAATGGCCCAGGTCACAATTTTTTTTTTTTAAACAAGGACAAAGGGAACTGTGTCCTGGCTGCTCTGAGAAGGGAGGGGACACTTTCACTGCCTGTTAGTTCTTTTTTTTAAAAAATTGTCTTTATTGAGCTATATATATTTCTCCACTCCCTTCCCACTTTCTCCCCTTCCCTTCTACCCTCTCCCATGGTCCCCATGCTCCCAAATTATTCAGGAGATCTTGTCTTTTTTCTACTTCCCATGTGGATTAGATCCATGTATGTCTCTCTTAGGGTCCTCATTATTGTTTAGGTTCTCTGGGATTGTGAATTGTAGGCTGGTTTTTCTTTGCTTTATGTCTAAAAGCCACTTATGAGTAAGTACATATGATATTTGTCTTTCTGGGTCTGGGTTACCTCATTTAATATAATGTTTTCTAGACCCATCCATTTGCCCTCAAATTTCAAGTTGTCATTGTTTTGTTTTGTTTTGTTTTGTTTTGTTTTTTCCTGCTGTGTAGTACTCTATGGTGTACACATACCACATTTTCCTTATCCAGTTTTTGGTCGAGAGGCATCTAGGTTGTTTCCAGGTTCTGGCTATGACAAACAATGCTGCTATGAACATAGCTGAGCACATGTCCTTGTGGTACAATTGAGCATCATTTGAGTATATACCAAAAAGTGGTACAGCTGGTTCCTGAGGTAGGTTGTTTCCTAATTTTCTGAGAAATCACCATACTGATATCCAAAGAGGCTGTATCAGTTTTATTCCCCATAAATATTTTTGGTTTAACAATTTTACCCTTTGAGAACTTTATACATGAGCACAAAATTTACATCACACTGCCCCTTCCATTTTCCCATCCAACCCCTCCTATGCCTACCACCTCAATTCAGGTCAAAGACATTTTTTGAGGTTCCTGCTATTAGGAAAATTTTAAAACAGAGCCATGAAAACTGTGTTATGTTTTAAATACTTGCCAAATAATAACTCAAGGATTTTGCATATCATGCTAAATAGTATAGTATACTAAAAAGCCACCCATACAACAGCTAAATAATTCTTAAATATGAATTAACATCATACAGTGATGTAGCCAAGTAGTGGATGCAAGGCTGTTTGGGGGTACTTTTCTATTGCCAGGATAATACACCATGGCCAAGACAATTTGCAGAAGAATGAGTTTTCTTGGCACTGACAGTTTCAGAGGGTTTTAATCCATCATGGCAAAGAAAATGGCAGCAGGCAAACAGGCGATGCTGGGGCAGTGTTTGAGTGCTCACATCTTGAGATACATCTATGAGGCCAGAGAGCTAACCAGGAATGCTGTGGACATTTGAAACCTTACAGCTCACCTTCAATGACACACCTCCTCCAAGAAAGCCACACCTCCTATTCCGTCCCTAACAATTCCACTAACTGGGGAGCAAGCATTCAAATACAGGAACCTTTGAGGGCCATTCTCATTCAACCCCCCCACAAAAGCTAATATCCGGTGAACAGTTGTTTTCTCAGTAATGCCAATGTATCTCATCTTCCACGGAAAAATACCATGGGAGTTTAAACTGTTTAGATCTGGGGGAGCCTGTGACTAGGAGGTGCAGGTCCAGGGTTCTACTGTCGTCTTTCCTGCATGGGGCTCAGACGATCCATTTCCAGGCCTGTGCCTATGTCCCCTTAATCTGAGCTCATTCAGCCTCTATCTTCCATGGCTAGGAATAGAACCAACAACACTCTGCTCCCTGCAATCACCGGAGTTTCCCTTCAGCAATTACTGTTATATGTTTTCTAATTAGCATAAAATTATTAAGTTCCTTTATGGCATTCTGAAGCATTTCTGTTGCTGTTTTTGATCTCTGGTGCCCTCTCCACTGTTGGGACCACTTGGAGTCCTGGCCTCCAGCTGCTCTTCCCTGCTAAAGATCTTTACTTTCCTTCTGATTTGAGTTACTGAAAGCTGTGTCAAAGTTGTTTACCAGCTCTGCTTCACGAGCACGCGTTGCCTTGCCTTGAGGATCAGAGGATAAGGTTTTCACCTGTTGGCCCACTTGACTGTGTTGGATATATAAGCCTCCGTGGTGCTATTGAATAGAGGGCTTCTTACCAGTGACTAGAGGTCCGTGTCTCTGTCTGAGCTGTGTCTGTCTGTCTGTTTCAACCTCAAACCCCTTGCCCCAAGCTTGTGAACTGTATGGTAGTGCACAGAGCACAGACAGGCATTGCGCATTGCACTTCACCTGTTTCTGTTCTCCACTTAGACCCTTCAGTCTCTACATCATACTATCAAGTCTCTTGTCTTGTTGTATTGCCCTCTTCCTCAATAATTCTTTGTCTCTAATCTCATGTTTTCTTTCTAGTTTCATAGCTTGTGCACATTTACACCCTTTGTGACAGACACATACACACCCATGCGTGCGTGCGTGCACGCACACACACACACACACACACACACACACTAAAAGCTAGGATCCACATATGGGAAAGGTCATGTGATGTTTGTCTTTCTGAGTTTACATCATATAATGGTTTCAGATCCATGTGCAGTAATCACCAGCTTCGTGTCCCTCCAAGTCAGCCTCTATATTGCTGGCAAAGATCTCTCTCAAACACAAATCTAAATATGCCTTGGATTTGCCTAAAAATTCTAAGTAGGTCCCCTCAGCTCATAAATTAACCTTCAACTTCTGCTTGACACGGAATACATCCCCAGTTGTCTCTAGTCCACCACTGAGGTCTCATTTCCCATAGTTCTCTGATATACTGTGTCTCCTATTTTTACAGAAAAATGGTGCATTCTTTTATTTCTGTTTCCATGTCCCTGTTTACTCGTGAAAACCCACTACTTCCTCGCTAATTCTCAGGACTTCTTTGAAAAGTTCCGGAATACTGCAGTGCTCTCTGTTCCCAGCCCAGTCTTCAGTGCAGTGTTAGGAGATCACCGGAGAAAGAAATTGTAATTGTTTATCTTTGTGTACTTTGCCCATGCTCCCACGCGCAGCAAGGGCTCAATAAATGCTGACTGGATAGTTGGATTAATGGTCAATAATACCCCATGCTTTTAGAAGCAAATACACATGCTCCCTTTGGCCAACTGTTTGCTGTGTAGCATTCAGGAGCACCCACGGTTTTCTGGATAGTTCTTATTACCAGTCGTGATGGCTGGAAAATGATTGTGGGGTCCCGGGTCTCCACGTTAACATGCCTCTTCTAAAGCAAGCCTCTTTTCTTCTCAGTTGCCTGCAGACCAGCTGAGCCTGCTTAAGGAATTCCTCCAAGACATTCTTCCTTTGACTTAGTGGGCAATTTCAGTGTGGCGAACAGACTCCTCATCACTCATGGCTGAAATTGCAGCACGCTGCTTATCTGCATGTAGTCGTTCTCCGGGCAAGAAATAATGCATTATTAACACAGCTTTATTATCAGGACCGCGTTTGGCAGATAGAGGAACATTAGAGGATAATTGGAAGGAGAGCTGATTTGTTAGCAAAATGTTGCCTTTTGGCTAATGAATCATTCAGATTTTTGCCCCGACAGCTCAGTAACAAGCTTGAAGACTCCTTTGCTTCAGACCATTAAACTCTGACAAACCAGTTATTAAGTACAGCTTGAGCCACCAGTCTGTGGGGAGTATTGCAATTACGAGCCATCTAGGTAATTTTTTTTAATCATTAGGCGAGACAAGGTGAGTGTGGTGATGGAGAGCCGGGTGACTGACAGCCTCTGCCGCTGTGCGGTACACAAGGCAGTAAACAGCTGCGGGAGGACTCATCAGTCAGCACACGCTCTTCGCTGGGAAGAGGTGGCAAGAGTAATAAAGGTTATTGCTCTCAAACAAGAAGCCCTGTTCCGGAAGGAAAGGACATGGTTTTTCTTTATTTCTTATCTGGAGGCTGGAAGTTTTTTCAAAGGAGAAAGAGAGGGGAGAAACAAGGATGTTACCAATGCCCAGAAAAGCAAGGTGGGCCCACTTGCTTGGGGTTCCCTATCCTATGGTTGTTAGATTGTTTTTGCTCTTGGTAGACCCATGGCACTGGGCCTCAGTTTCTCCTTTCTGCTCTGCTCTCTCGTTATTTATAACATGACTCTCGAGTGCAGCTAGGTAGCATAACTCAGCAGAACAAAGGGGGCAGTAAAGACTACGCTAAAACTGCAAAACAGATAACAAGGCTGTGGGCAGATCCAACACTGTTTTCCAGGTAGAAGGGCAAGTCTACAGTCTGGATTATGAGACCCTGTGAATCTAGCCAACACCTCCTCAGCCATATGTCCTTGGAGACCTATTCCTAAGGCTTCCAGCCTAGTGTAGTTGAGACGCTGATTCTATTTGCCTCGTAATTCCTGTCTTTGTGTTTCCACAGCCTCAGAAATGCCCCCCTTAACATTCATTTTTACATGTTCAATTTTATTTACTTTTTAAGGTCCCAGTTATTTTTCAAATTGGGGAAAAGGCGGGTTAATTTGACTTGGATCGCTTCTTTTTTCTTCTTCCCAAGTTGTGGAAGCCAACAATGTGTAATAAACATATGAGTTGAACCGTACTCTGAGCCTTCAACCCTGTGCGATCCTCTGTATCTCGCAGGTGGACACCTTGCTGGGAGCCTTGCTGTCATCACCGAAGCCGCTCATCTCTTAATTGACCTGACCAGTTTTCTGCTCAGCCTCTTTTCCTTGTGGTTGTCATCACGGCCTCCCTCCAAGCGGCTGACCTTTGGGTGGTACCGAGCAGGTAAAGTTCCGTGCTTGTGCAATGATGGATGCCTACTGCAGCAGAGTCAAAACAGAGGGGGAAGGGAGAGAGCAAAGCCGTGTTCAAAAATTCCCACCGGGCCATGAGTTTGGTGCTCAGGCTGAAATAACCACGTGGGAATGTGTGCACTCAACATTAATTCACCAGCCAGCCGATGAATAGAAGTAGCTCCTCTCCTGTGGGACCGCAAGAGTATGTGGCTAAGTTAGCAGCTCCGCCATCCCCAGGGTCTCTGCCTAGCAACAACGAGGATATGTTCTCTCAGTTACTCTGAATCCATGAGAGAGACGTTGACAGCAAAGCTTCCGCCACATTGCAAACTAAAGCCCCAGAGTCCAAGAGAGTGGCGGGAGTGAAGGATTTCTCCCCAGGGAGCTGGGCCTGAGATACGGGGCTTTCTCAGTCACACACGGCCTTTAATCATTCCTGTAGCTAGATTGTTACCTGTGGATCTGATGCTGGCCTTTAATGACTGTTGGCACGGTGTGGGGGTGGGACTTCATTAGGTCCTGAGAGCTGTGCTCTTGTTAGTGGGTCCACCCTGTTGTTGTGGGAGTGGGATCCCGATAAGAAGGGTGAGGTCAGCATAATTTCTTGCCCTGGGCCTCACGCACAAATGCTTGCTTGCTTGCTTTTCTATCACGCCATGATGTGGCATAGAAATGCTTGCCAACTTCAAAGAACCTTGGTCTGGTACTTCCCAGCATCAAGAACTGTGAGCAAAAAATAATATAAAATTACAGATAAAAATCCTTTCATTATAAATTACCTAGTCTGTAGTACTTCGTTAGAGTAGCAGAAAATGCACCAAGACAGCCAGTCAGCGAAGGCGTGGCCCAGCTGAATACTTGTTCACTAAATTACCACCAACAATAGAGAGGAAGAAAATGTTGACAACGTGAAGGAAGAGGGAGGCATAAAATCCACTGTTTCATCATTTCTCAGAGCTGCTTCTTTTGCTGAGCGACTGCCTGCTCTTGCCCAGGAAGAGGCCAGTCTCTGGGAAATGTTGGCTAAGGTTCTCCATACAGCATCCCCTCACCCATCCACACCTGGCCCAGCTCGATGTTCCCTCTCTGCTGAGGGAGCTTATCTGTTAGCTGGAAGAGTTTCTGTTGGAATATTTTGTGCCAGTCTAGGAAATACATAGTTACAGCTCTTTGATTTCACACTGCCTGAGAAGTCAAGGCCGAGGTGACTAGGCAGGAATGCCTGGGCAATTCAAGGATAACCTTCACAGTGAAAGAAGTGGGTGGCCACAAACCACAGCTTGTTTACTGACAAGGTGAACTTTCGGTGTTTGAGGTTAGGATACTAGCGAGCTTGTCTTCAGCAATTTATTGGTGCAGGTGTTCGGAATTGGCTTACCTTCCACATTTGGAGAAATAAACAACAACCAAGCTCGTGAGTTTAGAGAACACTTCAGCTGTCACTGCATGCTTGGGAGCCTTGTGAGTTTTGTCACGCTCTCAGCATTTATCAGCACAACTTTTGATTGTTGCTCAACACTTTCTGGTATTATTAGAACGGTTTGTTTCTCTAGAATGGTATCTTTTTAAGGGAGAGTAGACTCAGAATTTCACATCACTGTTTAGACCAGTTGTTCTCAACTCCTTTGTGTGTGTGTGTGTGTGGGGGGATGTAGGGGGGCAGGTGTCGAAGTATCCTTTCATGGGGATTACATATCAGATAACCTGCAAAGAAGATATTTACATTACAGTAGAAAATTTACAGTTATGTAGTACCGATGAAAATGATTTTATGGTTGGGAGTCACTACAACATGAAGAACTATATTAAAGGGTCACATCATTAGGAAGGTTGAGAACCACTGGCTTAGCCTATGTCCCCTTGACTGTAGGAATCTATGAGCCCTAATAGTCTGAAAGATCAAGAATGTTCAATACAACTCTTGCTATTAGGTAAAACATTTTGAAATAAGGTGTATGATATAAATATTGAGAACTCTAAATGTGACTAGTATGACATAATCACATTTTAAATTTTATCTAATGTCTAGTTAAATGGCTGCGCGTGATTGGTGGGTACCATGTGAAGCACCGCCTAGCTATATAGGTGGGCCCTATAAATGCTTACTAGCTGCTAGTCTGCCCGTTAATGCTTGACGTTGGTGTGAGGGCTTTATTGGCCAAGCTCATCTCTCACTAGACATTTGCAACCCGGGGCTTAGGGTAGGACATACTCAACTTGAACATTCTGATTTAGATGCCCCAGGGATGGGAACTATACTACTCACCATCTGTGAATTCACTCTCTGTTTCTGGCTAAGCAGAAAGTTTTTTAGCCTGAGTCTCATTAATTTCAACAAAGGGAACTTTAAACAATCTAACTAATTAAATCGTAATTCTTGAGAGTTTGTTCAGTGGTGTGTGTTTCCCTAAGCTGCTTTAGCACCATGGTTTCAACTGGCCAGCTCAGAGAGACACTGTCTCAGAGGTCTAGAGGAACAGAAGCGGGAGATAAAGGCATGAGTGAAGTTGCCTTTCTGAGGTCTGTCAGGGAAAACATGTTTCCTAACTCTCTCAGAACTGCTGCTGGTTTGCCGCCAGTCTTTGTTGTTTCTTGGCTTCAATATCTCGGCATTGATCTTGATATCGTCTTGCACTCTGTATTCGTGTCTATTTTCACCCTTCCCCTTAGAATAAGCAAACCAGACCCTATACCACAATGATTGCATCTTAACTAATTGGGTGCAAAGACACCATTTTCAAATGAGTTAACAATATGAGTTGCTAAAGAATAACATTTTTACACGCAAATCTTTGAGGGGTAAAATGCAAGCCACAGCAAGTTCCAACTTGCCTTTATATATTGCTTTAAAAATCTATCTTACAGAGAAAGAAACTCTTACCTGTATAAAACCAGGTACGTGTCATTGGTATGCCATATGGCTGTGATACTTGAAATCAAATCCTAAATATCAGCATCAGCGCTTCCTTCAGTGTGAAAATGTTCCATAGACGAACCATCAGATGTCTTGACTGTTGCATGGGCAGTAATCACATATGCATTCTATTATGCATGAAACATAAACTCATAATTTATGGCTAACTTTTTAGAAAGAAGCTAAGCATAAATATGAGTTAATGTGAGAAAACACCAAATAACTAAGGTAAGTGGTACATGAATATGGCAAAATAATTAAAATTGTATATGAATGACTATAAAGGTCAGGGAAGCAGTAGCCATATAGTGAATAATAGTACATAATTCTGCTTTTTTTTCCATAATTCTGCTTTTTTCCCATAATTCTGCTTTTGCAGGACCTAATATATAGGAATAAGGGAAAGGGAGTGTCATAGTTGGTGTTAACTGTCATCTGACACAACCTAAAGCCAACTGAGAAGGGACTCCCAAACGAGGGATTGCCCAGACCAGATTGGTCTGTGGGCATGTCTGTGGAGGATGCCCTTGATTGCTGTGTTGGGCCCTGCCTACTGTGGGTGACACCATTCCCTAGGCTGGTGGTCTTGTGTCGTATAAGAAAGCTAGCTAAACACAAGCTGTCAAGCAGCATTCCTCCACTGTTCCTAGTTTAAGTTCCTGCTTGAGTTCTGGACTTGACTCCCTTCAGTGATAGCCTGTGGCCTGGAAGTTATGCCAAATAAACCCATTCCTCTTCTAAATTGGGGGCTTATCACAGCAACAGACTGAGGCAGGATCGAGAGTAGAGAATAGCATAATGGAAATTTGCCTGACCAGTGGCTCACAGTGTATGTCTAGACATTTGTGGGTTTTAAAATCTCTCTACAAGGCTGAATGAAAGAACAGGGTGAGGTATTAAGGAAGGCTCACATGAGCCAAAGGGCTTTGTTTCTTAAATTCTTATCTTCAAATATTCATGCAAATGTCTCCATTTTGATTTTTCTTTTCCTTGCAGTTGCTCTTAAAAAGCCATTGGAGCGCAGAGAAACCCTTGAGTTCGCCTCGGTGTTTACAATATGTCCGGTTGGCAAATGAAAGCCATTTGCGTAAACCACACGCTGAAGCCTTCCCTTTTTCCTAGCTTATTCCTCTAAAGGTGCCGGCACTGGCAAGCTGTAAATGTTTTAGGGTGAAATTAAGAGTTTCTAAACACATTTTACTCATTGTATCTCATTATTTCATTCCCTAATAAGCTTCTATCATTTTAGCACCTGCGTAAATTAAAATCCCCAAGGAGAACAAGGGAGGGCAGGCAGCAATTAATATGTTCTAAAAATTTGCTGGAAACGACTCAGTAATAGGAAGCATAATGAATTCTGATGTCCGTGCTTTATGGATGGAACGCTAAAGTGTCTCATCTCAGTTCTCAAATCCATTCATACTTCTGCTTCATGAATCACGGAACAAAACAGTATGAAGCCATTTTCACAGGCAAGAGGATCAAAGAATCTATGGTCCTCTGGTGGGGAGTGGGGGATGTGAAGGTGATACTCATGATGCTTGCTGTGAATTTGACTCCCAGAGATCCTTGGGGCCCTGCTGTCTGTCCTCTGCATCTGGTTGGTGACTGGTGTCCTGGTATACCTTGCCTGTGAGCGCCTACTGTATCCCGATTACCAGATCCAAGCAAGCATCATGATCATCGTTTCAGGCTGTGCGGTGGCAGCCAATATTGTGTAAGTCATCCCATGCCGAGTGTCTGTTGGGCTTATCTTCAGTCCTACTGCGAGAAATATTATTAAAAAGAAATATTATTAAAAAGAAAAAAAATCTCCTGGGTCTGTGAAGATTCTAAAGTTCTGACATGGTATTTGGGTGTCATTAAGACTTAAAGTAGTATTGGTCACTATGGATTAAGGAGTTTTAAGCATTGACTTTCACGACCTAACACGCTTCCAACACGCCAGAGGGTGAGAAAGGATCTCATGATACATACACATATCAAATTGAATTTTGCTGTCTTCCAACCCCATCGAGTGTGAAAGGGAAGCTCAGCTATGTTAAATAGCTAGTGAGGCATTAGGATTTGAATCTCGATCCATGCATTTGGAGTAGAGGTTCTCTCCACACACTACTTTCTCTTGTGTGTTAATGACCCCATGGGATATGGCTTCCAAATGGTTCAGCTCTTGTTAGGTAAGTAGATAATGAATCCTTAGATGGCTGAGTTGACAGAGACCTTAGGGATGACTTCCTGTAGTGCGCAGTCTGTGTTTAAGGTCACTTTTGCTGTATCTTTGTTAATGGGCCATCACCTTTGTCTATTCAACCAAAGCAAAAATGGAGGTTTTTTCTTCCATCAAATTCTATTTTGTCTTTAAAATATACTGCGGCATAAAAAGCTATTGGGAAAAGGAAATCCCTCCCACAATTGCCTGCAGAAAGAACTCAGTCTTTCAAACCTACTTCAGACTTCTCACCTCCAGAACTGTGAGATAATGAATTCATGTTATTTGAAACTCCTAAAGCATTGTGGTAGTTTATTAATTCAGTAAATTGGAAATAATATACAGATTGAGCATTCCTGATCCAAAATCTAAAATGTTCTGAAACCTGAAACTTTGGAGTATGCTTCAGGCTCAAAATTCAGGACCTTGGAGCATTTTGAATCATCAGATCAGTGATATTTAACTGTTAATTTTTATGTAAAAATTTACACACACACATTTAATTGGTAATTTTTTTGTAAAAATTCACACATATACAAAACTTCAAAATTTTAAACCCTTCTAATACCAAACATATCATCTTCCAGTCTTCCAGCACAAACTGATGCAAATTCTAAGGTAGATTTGACATCAAAGACATGGCAGTGGTTGAAGAACTAAAAACGGTATTTACAGCATTCTTTTAAAAGAGAGAGCGTGATGGGATCATTGCGACTTGTAGGTATACTAACTTGTACAGTATGAAAATGTTCCCTCGGGTTGTTGTAAGAGACTTACATTTAGACACCTCCATTTTTCACTTCCTAGTTTGTACCCAACATAACGGAGCTGCAAGTTAAAGACAGCGATCTTCTGTCATTGCCTAGGTCCCACCCACAATGAGCTCTCTTGAAGCTCTGCTTCACATGGGAAGAAAGAAGGCAGGCAGATGAATGTTCATCTCTCTTCTCCAGAAGATAAATCCTCAGAACATGTGTCCTTCTCACTGGGGGTAAATGCATAAGGAGAAAAGTATGTCCTGAGGGCAGTAGGAAGAATGGAGGTTTTATTTCCAGAACCATATGTCATGTAGGTTGTGTCTCTCCCGTGCAGAGACGGTGGATAATGTAGCCACCTGCTACATTAACCTGGGGCCTTAAGGTGGGTCTTGATCATCGTAAAAGAAACTATTCGGATTTTCTTTTTATTGCAGCTGCTTGGGAACATTGACCTGACGATGGCTAGTGCTTTCCATCCTTAGAAAGACAGCCTACTTGGTTGCTCTGCCTTCCCCAAGCAAGTGAGCAGGTGGTTGTTTATGGAGAAAGGGACAGAGTGACTAAAATGTTTCCTCCAGGAACAGAGTAGGTAGGTTTCAAGGGCTGCTAGATACTGGATTGTTGGAATATGTAGAGATATCTGAACTGAAATTTGGGGTGAGTCTCCTCCATGGGAACTCCAAACCAGGACAGAAAGCTCCAGAAGCAACCGTGAAGAGTCATTGATAAAAGTTGTAGACAGAGCCCTGAAACAAATATTCTTCTGCAAAATTTGTGAATTCAGCCCAGTTGCTGTATGTATCTAAACAAGACCCTCTTCTGGTACCAACTGTAGTGTCTATTTTAGTAGACATGAACATAAATGTGTGTGTGATCCCTGCTATCTCTGCCACAAATGCTAGAAGATACCATGCCCAGTTTATAATACAAACATTTAACAGTGCCTCAATATGTGCTCACCATCATCTTAAAATAAAACAAGAAAGAGAATGACAATGTGATGAACATAAATAACAGATCTAGAAGATCTATAGACTGCCTGCCTATAAGGCCATCTGGGGCGTGTGGAATGGTAACTCACAGTTGACAGTGAATTTCTATCCAGATACTGACAGTCTGAAAACTGTACCGTGGAATGATCAAATCTGGGTAGGTATCTTGATTCTGCTTTTGGTGATGGCCTGAGATTTAACAGATACGTTGCCCAAATATATTTCTTTCAGGATGCTTGGAAGTGTCATGCTAAACTTTGCAATACATTGCAATACGTGTGTATATATACAAGTTCTTTATACTAGATCAGATGATTTCATTCTCTGTATGAATACGCAGACACAGCATTCTCTTTATTGGCCATTAGAAAATTATTCATAGTTCACACAATCACTCAAATGAACCAAATTAAATACAATGAAAGATTCTAATTTTTGGAGGAGAATAGATAACTCAGTCAGTAATATGCTTGCATCGCAAGCAAGCGAACCTGAATTTGACCCCCAGAAGCCACAGAAAAAAAGCTAGGTTATAGTGGTTTGTAATCTCAGTGCTGGGGAAACAAAGACAGCAGTTTGCTGGTCAACTTGCCTAGCCAAATGAGTGAGCCTCAAACTAATGAGACTCTGTCTCAAAAAAACAGGGTAGATAGCTCCTAAACCAAGGTGGTTCTCTGGTATCCACATGCACATGTACACAAATTGATAAATTCTCTCCAAAAGCCATAGACCATATAACAAAACATCAGTATCAGACAGAAGAAACCTCCTTCTGAGTGTTGGTCAAGGGAGACGTAGAGATTCCTCAAGAATTACAACCAATGCTGTCCTCACTTGACTCCCAGAACTTGAAGGTAAAAACATTGCTGAAGTACCACATGCTTTGTACGAAGGAGGACCTGATCTAGAATTGACCTGGCAGCTTCCTCCCTGTGGACTAAACCTCCTAGAATTTGAAGGTTCTATGTAAGCTGCCAAGGGAGATAAACAGCCAATAATCTGGAACAGCTAGAATGCCTGAGGACCAGAATGACAAGCACAGCAAGATATACTCAGGGCTGCAATAGTGGCACATTGGTGACAACCAACAGTCCTCTAATTGGACCAAGATTTGGGTTTCATGAGAGCAATAATGCTTCCCAGTTTTACTGTGGAACAGCATAGCATTATGTTGATAAATACCCAGAAAATGGAGGTGAATTTTTGAAATATTTCCTTTTGTGAGTTTTTTTAAAGTTCTAAAATAGACTAACAGTCAAATATAAGTCCAACATGATGCACCTTAAAACTCTGATATTTTAACTACCTAACAGTTTGAATAATGAATGCTACCAGTCACTCCTCCATCGTGCTGTGCAGGTTTTTTTTAAAGACTTTTTGTATGTGTGTCAAAACATTGTGATCTCTTTCAGACTAACTGCAATTTTGCACCAACGGCACCTTGGCCACAACCACAAGGATGCACAAGCTAATGCCAGTGTCAGGGCAGCCTTTGTGCATGCCCTTGGGGATGTATTTCAGAGCATCAGTGTGCTAATTAGTGCTCTCATTATCTACTTCAAGGTACGTGTAAGTAATGATAGTAACTCTATGAATACAGTAACATTAGCAGCCCGTGTTTGCCAGCACAAACCACCTTACAACGTTAAAACTAACAAATTCTGAGACCTTAATATTCCCTATATTCCAAAGAGCTGTCTTTATCTGTTGGGCTTTGAGTCTTTAAGAAAATTCAGTTTGACATGGTGTTAAGATGTAAATCAGTGAAACTGTGAACATCTTGCATTTTTAGATGTAAGCAATAGATAAGATCTCTGGTTTATTTAAATTATATTAATGGGCTAAAATTTATGGAAAAAACTCAGAGATAGAAATCAAGGTAGAAGTAAGGGCACATTTTAGTATCTATGGGTATCATGCTGAAATAAATATGTCGACTAAAGTATTTTTCTGTTTTTATCATTACCGAGAGTCGTATTTCTTAAAGATTTATTTGTGTTTGTTTGATAAATTAGTCTATGAATGAGAATGTGCGCATGAGTGCAGGTGCCTGACTGCAGAGGTCAGAGGAAGTTGGATTCTCTGGAGCCCGATGTGAATGCTGGGAAGTGACCTTGAGTTTTCTGCAAGAGCAGCACTCAATTCTAACCACTGATCTATCTCTTTAGCCCTCGGAGAATCACATTTCTTGGGAGGGTGTCCAGTTGACTGAGGTTGGGACTTGTGTCCACTACTCGGCTGGGAAAGGGTAGAGCACTTGATTCATGGACCTGATTATATTGTCCTCAGTGTAGAAGGAGCTTCTTTTCCCCAAAGCAGAGATCTCAGGCAAAATGAGAACGGAGAAGGGTCTCCTGCACTAAACATGTAAGTGCTCACTGACAGAGATGTGCCTTGGGACAGAGAGAGTGGAGCAAGAAATAGCATTCAGCTCTTCCTCTACCTAGCATGCTATTATGATTTTTCAATTTGGAGAGAATTGTGTGTTTTTTTTTCCTAAAGTGTAGCAAAACATAAGTCAAAGTAAAAGAATTCTGAACTCAGATGGAGAAAACGCACCTTGAAAGCTTCAAGTCAGTAAATAAATAAAAAATTTTAAAGTGAAAAAAAAGCTTCAAGTCAAAGGCAAAGACAGTTTAAAGTCATAAAGACTAGTAGTTTGAGTTAGCCAGAGGGGATGAAGAATACCCATGAAACAAGGCCTTCTAAACCCAGTAGGACCCGTGTACATGTTAACTTGCATATGGCAGCAAGTACATGGCCTGCTCTGGGCCTGATATGGTCCCAGTGCTGAGAGGGGACATGGACACAAGGCCACATCCCTAACCCAGAAGCTATTTTCCATTGATTCACTCACAAATGAAAAGTTAGTGTTCTCCAATGGAGTCTTACCATTCTTGAGGACAGGACCCTGCCAACAGTAGATACCATGACACAGTGAAATCGGTGGCATATGTCTCCTAATGCTTTGTCACGGAACTTTTCTCTTAATTTTACAGGTCCTGTGTGTATGTGTTTGTGTGTGTATACTTCTGGTTTTGTGCTTTTATGTGATTTGTGTGTGAATGTGTATGTCTCTGCATCTATTTGTGTTTCTTAAGTTTTATCTTTGTCTCTTTCCCTTCTATTTCCTTGTTTTGGCCTATTCTGTTTGTTTTATTTTATCTGTTATTATTATTAATTATCATTATTATTATTTTAGGTGCCTGTGTGTTTCCTAATGAGAGGGAAAAAGAAGGGTATGGATTAGGTTGGTGGGGAAGTGGAAAGGCTCTGAGAGGAGTTGGGGGAAGGGAAACAATAATTCAAATACATTGTATTAAACAAGCTATTTCAATTAAAAACACTTGCAACCCTGTATTGAAAATGCAAAAATAAATAAATAAACTTGCAGGGCATTCTTAAGAGACCATGAGCGTTCACTGATCCAAAAGTTAAGAATGTCATTAGATAGCATCTGAGATCTATAGTAGGATTTTCCCAGCTTTGCTGTAACCACATAGCCAGGGCCCGCACAATGTAATTGGTAAATACTTTGATTTATGACTTTCTTTGCTGTGTAATTAATAAAAATCTCATGTAGCAACTTTAGAAAAAAATAACTCGAGTTAGGTTGATGCTGTGTTTCCCAAGGAAAGTGGAGCATTGGCATTTCCGTGCTCTTGAGCTTCACTACAACACTAGAATTAGAATGGCGTGTATTTCTCTCAGATATCAAGATTATCAATCAATGGAGGGAGGGAGAGAGGGAGATAGGGAGGGAGAGGGAAAGAGAGGAAGAGAGCTGGCGATATATAGAGAGATAGGTAGGGAGAGAGATGGATAAAGAGGTAGAGAGAGGGCTCAAGAAACAAATCATGTCTGGTTTGGGCTTTAATGGCCGAAATAAATGACATCCCCCTTTCCTCCGTCACCATAATTAAGGTTCAAAAGGGATGGCTGGTATGACCATCTTTTCACACATTCCCATGACTACAGTGTTCTCATATTAATTTGAGAAAATTAAATCAGGTATGTTTTTTTAGCGCATACTTAAGAATATGTTTGAGTTTAATTCCTAAGTTATGGGGGAACATATTTAGAAGCCTCTATTCCTTAGTCACTAGAAGTTTAAAACTTCTTTGGTGACTGAGTCCCCAGGAACAGCATTCTTCCATTGAGTTGAATGCCAAGGATCAGGAAGGAAAATGGGAAACAGAGAAAGAAACGTTCCGAGAGGTTTGCTTAGTTTATCAACCAGGCTTCTGGACAGAAAGGTTGAAATCAGCTAACCAAAGTTGCTGTGTTTTCCAGCCAGACTACAAAATTGCGGATCCAGTGTGTACATTTATCTTTTCCATCCTGGTTTTGGTCAGTACCATCATGATCTTAAAAGACTTCTCCATCTTACTCATGGAAGGTAGGAGGGCTTTCATCATTATTCCTAGGATTGATGCTTCTTTCCCCCTTTGGTCATAAAGGGATGACTTCCTGGCATGTTCTCTGCTATTTGTATTACAAAGCAAAATTAGAGTGATAAAGACTTTTAATATTTAATTTTGCTTGAATGAATCAAATAGAAATAGTATATATATATACACATACACACACCATTTCGATTTGTATATATATGCATATATGTATATAAGTATGTATTTATATATACATTTATACAATTTCTATTTGTATATTTATATAAACACACACATATATATTAAATTGTGTCTCACAATGTAGTAAAGATATCAATATAAACACTAAACATTAGTGGCAAATATTGCAAAAGTTATAAATATATCCCCAAGAATACCATAAAAAATCTAATTCATTTAGAACGAAGAGAGTGACAATGAACCTTGATAGTCTGAGATGCAGAAGTTGTTTCCTGACTTGGGCAGCTGAAACAGTGGGAGCTTTGCACACCAAGTGATAAGATATCATTGCAATGTTCTTCTTAGCACAGTTCCTAAAGAGACTTATTGGACAATCGACATTGCATAGCATTATAATTTACAAAGAACAGGCTCGTTCCATGAAGTCCCCATATCATTCATGATCTAGCATTGCTCGTATTGCCCATATTTTACTATGTCTATGATCAGAGAAGCCTCATGATTTGAGAAAATTCGCAGTAATTATTGTCAGAAAGCAAACCCAAGATTTATGATGCCAACCTTATGTTGTTCATTATGTATCATAGAGCGTGTGTAAAGACAAAAATCACTGTTAGTTAAATGTTATTTTAGGGATGATTACTATTGCTAGGATGCTGCCTAGTAAATTTGTGAGTCTTTTGTTTGTGGACAAATCCTTTGACAGAGCCTGATTTTTAAACACTTGAAGTACAGAACCAAAGAAGGGACTGTTGGCAAAAGTTGGTGTTCTGATGAGGGCTGCAGCTGAGTTAGCCTTCATAGCAAGCGCGGTTATATTAGTAACACGAGGGTCCTACGTTTCCTGTGTCAGGTGTTCCAAAGGGCCTGGACTACAACAGCGTGAAAGAGCTCATCCTCGCAGTTGATGGCGTGGTGTCCCTGCACAATCTGCACATCTGGTCTCTGACAGTGAACCAAGTGATCATCTCTGTCCATGTTGCTACAGGTCAGTGAGTGAGCTCTGGAAGCACCCCAGGCAAGATTCTCTCCATACCCTGAGAACTCAGTCATTTTTCTTCCTTTTAGAGCTGCCCTTACTTATCTATTGTCTGTCAAAACAACTGTAAAATGTGTTGCCCTAGCCAGCACCTCTGAAAACCAACCCACTTATCAATGTTGTCATAGCAACAAGGATCCCAATGGCATCCTCTGGGCTGATTGCATAGGGTAGAGAGATAGTACAAACAGCTAAAATATCTCCCCAAATTCAAGCCCTTGGCCTCAGAAAAAAAAAAATGACTTTACCTGTTTGTCTGTGTGCCTCTTCAGTCTAAATAATAGGAATGAATTTGACAACAAAAAAATTCAATGGATCTCCTGTGTAAAAGATAGTTTTCTGACCCCGAATACAACAGAAGGGAAACGGAAGGTCAGCTTTGAAATTCCTACAGGCTAATAGATGTGCTGAAAGACGGTCAGAGATCCTGTGGTCATGTAAGACACTTCATAGAATAGAACCAAGCCTGCTTCTTTCAAGTAGATGGGGATTATGTCCATGATAAGTTTTCAGACTGAGGGAATGGGAGGTAGGAGGTTTTTCTTCCTCTTAAGAGAAAGCTCAGGCTAGGGAGAGTATGTAAGGTTGTTTAAAATGACTAAAGAAGTTACTTAGAAGCAGGGGACGGGAACAGCAGTGACAGTCTGTATTTTGTCGGTTGTCCTCATCTTCTACAGGGGACACAGATAGGACTCCAGGAAATTTACAAAATCCTCTGTACAAATATTTCACCCCAAGTGGAAGAATATAGTAAACAATCAGGTTATGATGGAGGAACTTCGCAGCCTCCTGTTATTACTTAAGACAGGAAAAAGGATGGCCATGAGGGTGGATGCTCTAGGGGGAGGCCTGTGGGGAGCTCTAAATGCTTTTTTGTTCCTGCCACTTGTCTTGATATAAATTCTAATTAAATCTAAGGGCTAAAAAAGGGAGGTTCCTGGGGGCTGGTGACCAGGGCTCTGTAAGACACAATAGCTCAGACTGGTTGTGCTTCTTAGCAAGTCTTTTTCTCTCCTTCCCAATGAAGCTCAAATGACTGCTAGACTACAGAGGTAACTGGGCAGGAAGAGTATGCTTAGTGAGGGATATTTTGTGTGCAAGTCCCCCCACCTTGTGTGGACAGAGCTCAATGTTGGAGCCAAAGGCTTCTTTAGAGGGCTCTGCCCTCACCTCACCCATCAGGCAGGACCTAACACTTGAAGCTGAAACCAATCAGTTCAGTTCCTGCCTCCTCTCTCTCTCTCTCTCTCTCTCTCTCTCTCTCTCTCTCTCTCTCTCTCTCTCTCTCTCTCATACACACACACACACACACACACACACACAGAGAGAGAGAGAGAGAGAGAGAGAGAGAGAGAGAGAGAGAGAGAGAGAGAATGCATTATCTGTGTTAATCTCCCTGTGTTTCTTTATCCACAGCTGCCAGCCAGGACAGCCAGTCCCTGCAGACAAGGATTGCCCGTGCCCTCCACAGTTGCTTTGATCTGCACTCCCTCACCATTCAGATAGAATCTGCAGCAGCCCAGGACCCCAGCTGCCTTTTCTGTGAAGAGCCACAGGACTAGCTCCGTCACGCTGCCAGCTTCCTGTGTTTCACAGGCTATGACAAGCTGCTGCAAAGTTTCTGTAACACACAATTAAGCAACCAATGGAATAGATATGAGCAAGCCAGGACAGTGTAACGTGCTCATTCTCCCTTTTTATTTATCTCCATCTACCGTGAATGAAGACGCATGAGACCATCAGTTTCTTGGATTCTTTTCATAATCAGTAGTTGTGTCCAATTATAGGAATGCATGTATAGATTACTCCTAATCGGGAGGCTGAAATAGCAGATGCTTGCAACCACAGATAATAAATGGTTCACTTCCCTGCAATAATGGGTGTAGTTGAATTCAGGAATGCCTTTCCAGGAGTCCTCAGCATGAGAAACAAATATCTGAAGAGAATCTTAAGGCATCAGAACTCGGCTCTTCCCCCATCCCCAATGAGACATACATTATTTGAGAAATGGTGGAATTCCCGCTTTTAATATTGTAGGTAAATTATGGTGCGATGTGTGTAAGCTATTGAATTATATTTTACATGACCACAGTGCTCTATGTTAAGCTACTGAATTATGTTTTAGTTCTCAGTGCAAAGGGTATGGGAGAAGGAAAAGTTCTGAAATTGCTAACTTTTGAATGCTTTCATAAAGTGTAAGTTAATAATGCAAGAAAATGAGGAGTCATGAAACAGGATGTTTCTTATCCAGGTCACATGGAAAGGAATTCAAAGGATTAAGATGAATGTTAAATATTGCACAATATTTATGGATCACTGTTGTTCAATAGCTATATTGCATTTTCTAATGGAATAATTTTTAGAATTTCATCTTAATACTATTATTATGTAGATAAAATAAAAAAATCAAAGAGGATAAAGTAATTTAAAAATCTTATTTATTCAATCATTCAAAAGATATTATTTGATGTCAGACTTGGAATGAGGACTGGGGAATAGCTTTGTTTTTTATTTCTGTAACTAAATTACAGTAGGTAATTAAAAAGAAAAAAAATTATATAGCTCATGGTTCTACAGACTGGGAAGCTACACATGAGTGGTTGATTTTGGGGATGGTAATGGAAATTTGCAGCATCCTTAGAAAAGGCAGGGCATCACAGGATGTGAGGACTGAGCATCCCGGCTTACTTCTTGGCTCCTCTTCACTTAATGTCACAGTCCCACTGAATTAGGGCCCCATCTTTGTGTTCTCATTGAGCATTATTTCCCAAGGGTGCCACCTCCTGCCAAACCATAGAAACCAGACTAGGATTCTAGCCTCTTGGATAGCCCACTAGGGGCATTAACTTTCAGTGTTAGTAACTCTGGATCAAGAGTAAGGTTTGCCTTGTTGAGTGACTTCAATCTGAATAGTGGTCTTTTTCTTTATAAAGTCAAACATCTTTTTAACAGCACTGTTCTTATTTGAGGCTGAATCATTCTTTGTTGTGGGGAATGCTGTCTTGTGCTTGACAGTGTATTTAGTACCATTCCCAGGACTTAGTTACACATGCTGGTTGTGGATATAGTACACACACACACACACACACACACATACACAGAGAGAGAGAGAAAGAGAGAGAGAGAGAGAGAGAGAGAGAGAGAGAGAGAGAGAGAGAGAACAAGCAGACTTACAAATCATCAGGTTAAAGGTTGTGGAGATTTGGAGTTTGAATGGCTACCTTTGAACAAGAAGTCAAGAGGGTGCCTTTCATGTTGGGTCTACTTCTGTCTATTTTCTAGATCCTTCATTAAGGAGACAGGATATTTAATTCAATCCATCTGGAACTAGAACATACATTGGCTAACTTTAGATATTTTCCAAAGTTATGCTGTATTAAAGTCAGAGAAACTAAGGCTCATATGGTCCTCTCTATTCCCCTTGGTATATAAGGTAGATAGAGTATGTCTCTAAGAGCCAGCACAGGTATGACTCACTCCATTCTCTCCAACTTTGGTGAGCCTGGGTTTAGTAGATAAGAACAGGTCCTCTACAAATGTGCCCATCCATCTCTCAGTCCATTGTCTGCATAAGAAGATTGAATGACCTGGTCTCAAGACTTAAGTTGAAACCACAGAAAAATGGATGGTTTATTTTATATTATTTTATATTCTAGCACCCAAAATATTTCATGAGGTTATTGGATACTGACTCAAGTATTAATCAAGTGGCATTTTGATTTGTAATCTGTTATTTATAGGTTTTCTCCAAGGGCCTCCTCAAGAAGAAGGACAATTGGCAAGACAGGTCTATATCATTCCAATTTTTTGACTATATAATAATCATATAATTCTAAACACTGGATTTATTTTAATAAGAAGAGGAAACATGTTCCATTTGAATAAGTTAATTACGAAGGTATAAATCTGTGAAAAGTTTTTAAAAATTGGTCACAGTCCTTAAGATAGATAATTTTTTTCTAGTCTGAATTTGGGCATGGGTATAAATATACAAAATCATTTTCAAGTCATTATTCCTTTATCATCTTGGCCATAAATCCTTTCTAGCTTTAAATTCTAACCAGTTTATTAATAGGTTATTAGTTCATAAAAATTTTAAAGAGATGCTATTTAAAAAAGTGTATTTTTGTCTATCAGAATGTTTATATCTTGGGACCAACCAAAGAAAGGGTTTGCTGAAAAAAAGAGAGCTCCAAGAAGAGCACACAAAAACTTTGAAGTTGATTCTCCAAGCTGTTGAAATAATTAACCTAAAAGGAGAAATCAAGATTCAGTGACATTATTGATTCCATGTACGTTCTGAGCGCTTGCTTTGCAACAGGCATTGTGCTTGACAGTTGGGTTATAAAGAAGAATTAAACACAGTATATGCTTCGAACACACAGTGGTAATTCACTCTTTGTCTGGTAATTCAATTAAAATAAAACTGTGCAGGCCGATGTCTAGGAAATCACAAGTCAGTAGCCATGGTTTATAACCTCTACTTCTGCATTTATGTAAATACTTCAAGAGGCAGCTAAAGAAAAGGCACAAACTGGAAGCCACGGAGGAGTGTCAGATACTTAGATAACTACAGCAGATTCTCCTGTTCTAGGATGAAGGAAGGCATGAAAGGGAATGGCGAGAGTCGCCTGGCGAGCATCAGGATTTATGCCATCGTGGTAACAGTCAGGCTGGACTTTGAATTTTATAACAGGGTTCCAAGCAGCTATGAACAAGCCATTCTAGGCAAAGGCACAAAAGTGAGGAAGATACACGTGTCATTCTGTTGGCTTTCCATTTAAAGAACAGTGAGCATATGGGAAAGGACTCTTTCAACTCTGTGATTCTTAACATCATATAATTGTGCAACCTTATGGATTTAAATCTATAGATCATTGCCAGGCTCCAGTAGGATGCTAGAAACCCAGAAGCCATTAATGATGGTTGGGGCAAAGCCTCTAAGGCTAGAGTTGGACCTTGTCATGGCTTTTTCATTTATATTTGTATTTTTCTGGAATTCTGAAGGCCAAAAACACAATGATTTTGACATAGGAGGACACATCTCTTCAGATCAGTCAGCTCACTGACATGCTGCTTAGCATTCTGCTGACAGCTGGTCCTTCTCCATGGCGACAAATCGATGTGTTCCCCTCTTCAATGAGCACATCCAGGAAACTGTACGGGTTTCTCATGTCTCAGGACACATCTGGCTTCCCCAACGTCTCAGATCATGCCAATTTGCTTCCTATGTCTCAAGAGCCATGGGGTGGTTTTTTATTTTTATATTCTGTGCAGATCAGAGAACTAACAATAAAGTGACCTGGCAAGCACACTGGTTCTACTGCAATTTCAAATCATGGGAATATTTTATTTTATATAAAATGCATCATATCCAAGGCAACCATAGAGGTGAGAGAGTGATATGTTTACCAAAGGAATGTCTCATGGCTTCTACTTAACCCTCAAAAATGTTTATTTCTTGGAAATTCCAAATCTTTAAATCAACTCACTCCAACGATCCAGATGGTAACTTGCAAGACAATTTAAAATGACGATTTTAAAGATCTTAAGATGAAGAATCAAACGTTGCCAAGCACGTTTCCATGCCGTCTGTCCATTCTGAAGTTTTGACTTCTCACCCCTTGCCCTTTCCTTAGCATGGTCAGAATTCTGAGCCCTTGAAGAGAGTGGAAAAGTATAGGCCTCTTTGCTTCGAGACATTTTATTTCCCCAGCTCTCAAAACATCATTTCTCTCAAAGCATCACGCCTCATTCTTCTGAGTGCTGAAATCAGGTCAACTTCTATGCCATCTTCATCCTTAATATGCTTCTCCATCATCCAGCACAGGGTGGAGACTCAGATAAGGCTCTATGGGGATGTTAGGGCTCATAAAAGAGATTTATGTGTTCCATCTGTTTGGTTGCAGATGGAAAATGGGAATTCTGAAGGACATGACCGAGAGAATGCTTCTGCATGGAGCCTCGATCTGGAAACTAGATTGCCTAAGTTTGGACCTTAGCTCTTTATCGTATTAGCCCTGTAACCTCTCAAGATGGTTACTTAAATACTCTGAGCCTCTATTTCATGAGTGGCAAAACCTTTCTCTCTAGGTGTCTGAGTAGCTAAAACACTGGGACAGTTAGAAGACGTAGATCTGTGTGAAGTGCTTGGTCATCATTCAGGACATATTAGCTGTTATCACTTATATATGAAGGTGAGTATGTGAGAATGCATGCACACACATGCATGTGCACACATGCATGTACACACACACACACACACACGGAACAAACACAGCTTTAAATCATCCAGCACTTTAGAGGCTCTTAAGTCATCACCACAAATACCTCCACAGACAGGCAAAATGGTTGGTGAAAATTAAACAGCTTTTCCATAAGAAGGCGTAATTGAGACTTGCTGAGATAAAGGCGTTTACTGAGACAGCGCTTCCTGCTGAGGAAGTCATGGTCTAATTAAATCAGCCCGACGTCTTCCTGTCAGCCTCTGAAAATTTCTACTCTCATCTTTGAAGTAGAAGCTGAATTAGTCTCTCCAGGTACATTTATTAACAAAAGGTATAAGTGCCTAGTTCTAAGAAGGTAGTCATAACTTTCGAAAGTCTTACATAGTTCCTGTGAAATATCACACTATGTCCTCTCTCTTTCTCCCGATCTCTCTGTCCCAACTCATCCCCTATGAATGTTTATTTATCTATATTTTGTAGTGTGTGTATGTGTGTGAGCATGTGTGTGACCACTGTATGTGCTTGTGTGAATGCTATTGTGTTTGCCCTTGTGTGCCTTTTGGAAGCTAAGCAAGGAAAACTGTGCATCTGACTATCACTCTTTGCCTTACTCATTTGAGACATGTTCTCCCAGTGAACCTGGACCTGGACTGGCATCCAGCAAATCCGCAGAGATCCTCCTTTCTCCACCCACTGTGGTGCTGGGGTTATAAGGACGGGCAGCCACATCTTGCTTTACAAGTGGGTTTTGAATCAGATCCTCACACTTGCACGCTTAGTCTCTCTTTCAATACATTCTCTTCAAGTACATCTTCTTGTTTCTTACTAGCCAATTTTAAAATGAGATCACTTGAGATCCTCACACCAACAAAACCCTTCATAGTGCTCTGGTGTCAAAAAGAAAGAGGTCTATTCTCAGGCACATGTGTTTTATAGAGTCCTGGTTGCTCTCCAGCTCCATTCCCATCTAATAAAACATGATCTGAAGACCCCTTCACAGAGAAAAGCCTTGTCATCCATATTAAGCTCAAGAAAAACCTTCAGGATATTATTTTCTCAGTTCATCTCCCTGACTCCCCCAGTTCTGGATCACAGGGCAATCTGTTTAAGTGACTAATTACAGACATCATTAAAATCACCAGGCAAATGTTGTCTGTGAATACC